GATCTGGACCCCACGGCCCGTGGCGCCCTCTCCTCTCAACCCCGCCGGGGGTGCGGGACCTGGAGCCCACGGGGTTCATCCCAGCACCCTCCGAGCTGGGCACAGAGCCGCGAGCGGAGGCAGGGCTGGTGCCCTCCCAGCCAAGTGCCCGGGGAGGGGGCTCTGGGTTGGCACTAGGAATAACCCCATTCAAAGGAGAAGAGGGTTCTTATTGTCCATAGGGGATTGCCAGGTTGGTCCCAAAGAAATTACCCACACAACTAGGGCATGGTGAATAGTCTGTGATCTATAGGAAGAATCACTGACACTAAACACTGACTAAATGAGTAAACCCATTCAAAAGAGAAGAGTGTCCTTATTATCTATAGAGGATTGCCAGGTTGGTCCAAAAAAAAGATATTACCCAAATAGCTGGGGTCTGGTGAATAGTCTGTGATCTTTAGGAAAAATCACTGACATTAACGGGCACTGAGGAAAAGAATAAACCCATTCAAAAGAAGTGGATCCTTATTATCTATAGGGTACTGCGAGGTTGGTCCAAAAAAAGATATTACCCAAACAGCTAGGGTCTGGTGATTAGTCTGTGATCTTTAAGAAGAATCACGGATGCTAAGGGGCACTCAGTAAAAGAAGAAATCCATTTAAAAGAGAAGAAGGTCCTTATTATCTATAGAGGATTGCCAGGGTGGCCCAAAAAAAGATATTACCCAAACAACTAGGGCAGCGCTTCCCAATTTGTGGTACGGATACAACCGGCAGGATGCAGACATGCAGTACACATTAACAGGTTTTATTATAATTACTTTATATAATGAAAATTTGCTGGTGGTACTTAAGGTTGCATCGCTTTAAATTGGTGGTGTGCAATCTTGTCAGAGTTTGGGAACCGCTGAACTAGGGTATGGTGAATAGTCTGTCATCTGTAGGAAAAAATCACTGACAATCTTTTAGCCCTAGCAGTATACCACTGTTTACATGGCCAATGGGCAAACCTGGGGCAAGCTGGGGCCAAAGCCATACAGGATCCAGGTACCAGGCAAGGGAGGTGGTGGCTCCTGTGCCAGGATGGATGGATTCCCTGTTTGAGAGAGAGAGAGAATAGGAAGAGAACTTCCCTCTTAGATACTCTTGAGAACCACACATCTTAAGCAGGGTCTGCAAACCCCAGGGGTACCTGGATGACCCTGCCTCTAGCAGGGGCTTGGACTCGATGACCTCTGGATGTCCCTTCCAGCCCCTCTTCTTTATGATGTTGGCTGCCGGAGATCCCCTGCCTTACAAGTGGCAGGTTAGGGTGGTAGGCCTGTGTTGTGTCAGGGTTGAGGGTAGTTTTAATGAAGAGTTTATGATTGTAAGGGACAGTTTGGCTAGGGATGATCCTGTCTCAGGTACGGACTGGACAACTTCTGGAAGTACCTCCCAACCCAACTTCTCTATGACTTTGGCTGCCGTGGTTCCCCTGCTTTACCTGTGGCGGGTTAGGGTGCTACATCTGTGTTGTGTTAAAATTGATGGCAGTCTTATGTCAAGGTTAGATTATGGATCGTATAGGATGGCTAGGGCTGATCCTGCTTTGTAGGGCTGGTCCCTTCCAGACCTACTTCTCTATGACTCTTCACAAGATAAACCCAGGGTTTTCAAATAGGAATTCACAATGTTAAATGCATTCTACCCACTGTGGCCTTTATGGGGGCTTTGCAAGCAGAAATATGGCTATTATTTTCCCATAGTCTAAAAATGAGTGAAAATGAAGAGCTCGCATTTTCCAAGGGCCCCTTTGAGTCTAAGGAGAGGTGTCTGGAGTCTAAAAAGGTTGAAAACCGCTGCTTTAGAATTTGGGTTAGTAGTCATGCAGCTAAATAGATAGGGTTTCCCCCTCTGCATTCAAGCCATATGGAATCTGGATTTTTTATTTTGGATGGGGGGTGGGAAGGCTGTCAAAACTGTTGGATTTGTTCCGTCTTTGATAGAGTTTGGGGGTTTGGGTACAAAAATCACCAGGATACAGTTTTTACCCAGCTCTACAAGTGTGTTCACAGAAAACAAGGTAATTCTAAGGGTTGGGAGGGAGGGGGAGAAACTAGGATCCTATAAGCAGGGGCTGCTAGTGGAGATTAAGGTCTTCATCATACAATCCTGCACTGTTCTTCCAGCAACATCTTTGATAAGGATGGAATGAGAGGTGTCCCTAGCCACAGCCCTGCTTTCAGTGTACAAAATAGGTGCTTTTCTCTTTAAGCTGAGAAGAACAAAATGCCTGCTGGTTACAAACCTTCACCGTTTGATAAAAAAATCCTCATGTGGGCAGGACACTTCAAGGCTGAAGAGGATATTCCTCCAAGGGTCCCGTAAGTGCCTCATTGTTTCCAGACAAGGTTATTTGGGTGAATCTGATATTTTTTATTATTATTTTCATTGTTTCCAGGAGGGGTTATTGAGCTGAAGTGAAAGAGGGTAGTGTGTTCCTTGATTTGAAACTAAACCTAAAGCTTAACCTGATGATAATTATCTATGTCCTAAATTTCAGTGATCAAGTAGGAGGCAAAAGTACCTCTGATAAGGGATGGCAAGATAATATGTCCCCTTTCCCTCTACCGCTACATCACTACCTCTCCCTCATTTAAGAGCTTCTAGTGTAACTGCCCTCTCTGCTTTCCACCGTTACCTTTATGCTGTCACTTTGGACCAGATCAAAAATGTGCCCAGACCAAATGCAATACTTAGATCCTACTCAAACTCCATTTTTTTTTTTTAACTTTAACATCTCCAAGAATAGCCTGTGCCTTGGTAGTGAGGCCCTTTTCCCAGGAGGGGGGTCTGCAGGCCTGAACCCCCTCAGACAGAGGGAAGAACAATCTCTCACATCATGGGTAAATGTTTTGTGCTCTAAGCCAGTGGATCTCCACCTTTTTTATACCAGGACCCATTTGTAAACATGGATGGCCAGTCCTGACCAGATGCCCTCCACCCCCAGGCCCCAGCTCCTAGAGTGCCCCTTGCAGACCGGAACTCTGCCTGCCTGCAAGGGAAAAGAAATAGTTTCCCACGTTTTTCTCCTTTAAGGAAGAATCCATTTTTAAAGTTTGCCGATCCATTTATAAAGTTTGTTCGCAACCCTTTCATATATTCTTGCATCCCACTTGTGCATTGTGACCTACAGGCTTTGAAACGCTGCTCTAAACTATTACATATAAGTGGGGCTTTTTGTCCTCCAACCATCTCTGACCAAGAAAGCAAACTATGCTTTTTGAAGGAAAATGCCTTCAGGAGGAGGTTCAGGGCTGTGGATGGAAGCACCTACTGCAGGGTCCAAGCGAGGCATTTGGAGGGATAGAATTTAAGACTTATTCCTGTCCTCAGCATTGCATGTTGGTTATCATCAGGCATCTGCATACCAAAAGCTGATGGTTTTCAGTTCCTTCCTCAGCATACTGGCTGTTCTGAATCCCATCCGGAGGTGATTAATTCTCCCCAGGCTCTGCATAGGTTGCCTGATGCCTCGCTCGGGGTTCTGGATTCCACTTTAGTGGGCCAAGTGCCTAAAAGTTAACCACCAAAATGCCTAAGCCCTTCATTGGATCTGGCCCCAAGTCTTACATTCTATTATTGTACCTTCCTGTGGGTGACTTGTCTTTTCTACTGTTCCATAAGTAGGGATAAGATGTTATCAGAACAGTGATTCTCAACCAGGGCACCACCAAAACCTCTGAAAGGTGCCACAAGATGCAGGCAGAGTATCTCCTCACATGATTTCCCCATCCCCAGTCCCCCTGAACAAAGAAGAAAGCAATGTAATATATAAATTAGTTTTTGAAATTGGGTGCCACACAATTCACAGAAGTTATGGAGAAAAAGGTGAAGCCCAAAAAGGTCAAGAATCATTGTTTTAGAAGATTGTTACAGAAGTTGGCAATCTTACCATAAAAATGGAAACGCTTAACACAACGTAAGGCACAGCTGATCACAGCAGAAAGGAAGCTGTTGTACTTTCAGAACTTGTCAACTCTGAAAAATTGGAAGCATCTGAACACTCAGATGTAAGCCTAAACAATTTTCTGGGATCATATTTTTCTTGATGAGTTCAGGTGGATACTGTTTAAGAACTAAATGACTCATGATCATCATTACTGAAGGAAACAGAAATATTTGCATGAGCAAGATGGAAAGGATTTGGTTCAAAGCCTGTTAGTGATTTGAGCACTGTTGGTATTTGCAGATTGGTGCGTTTATTCTGTTTGATCTAACAAAATGTCACATCAGAGGAAGGTTGCATCAGTCACCAATATTTTGTTTATAGATCACATAAATACAATATATATTATGAAAGAGTGGATGATTACTAAATGATGACAAACAAGTTACAATATATGGTATGTCAGCAACGTGTTTGAGAAAAAATGGGGAGAGAGAAAAACAGCATGTTCTCTTCCTTGTTTACTCTTTCAGAGTATATTTCCAGGATCAACTGAAGCAGTTATGATCTGCTTGAGCCTAGAAAGCTCATAGGCTAGATTGAGGCATGCCAGCTTCAGTAGCTAATGGCACATGAAGGAGCAATGTGACTACCATTCTCATCCATCTACCTCTGACTTCCCAGCCTGAGTAACTGGGTTGACTGGGGTAAACCATTAGTAAAGTCTAAAGCAAGAGGCCTTCAGCCACTTTGCCATTTCATGTTCTTCAGAAAACTGAATACACAAGGGTAAATCTTATAGTGCATTAGACATTTCCTTTCCACTAGCCGCCGCCACCTCAGATAATTTTACTGAAAAAAAAATGTCACCACCAGAAGTTAACATATAAAAGGCATGTTCGTGTAACTGCCTTACAGAAATAATATTCATCTCCAGTCCAGCTACATTTCTTATTGCCAGACTTCTTGGTAGAGGAGTTAATCGCATGTAACATACTGCACTTTGAGAAACAGTTAAAGGGAACGTTATCTGGGTGTTTCTTTTGTTTCACAGTTCCATTCCTTGTGTAATGAAGACAATAAGCAAGAGAGCAGCATGGCTGTAAGCAAAAGTACACTTTTGTCCCTTATTTACATCATGTTGGACACCTTTTCTTGTCATCCTCATATTAGAACTATTTCCTACTCTAATGGCAAATCCTAGTTTAACTGGCATCTATGGCAAAACTCCTATTACTGGAAGGAGGCCAGGAATTTACAGATAATTTTCAATGCTGTATTTTAGGAAGATTAATTCAAATTACATCACATTTGAAAACGTGGGTTGCACAGTACCATAACAATGAAGTTTGATTTCTTCAGCAGCTCAGCACTCAGGGAGCTGCGTGTGGAAGAATCAGCTTTGTGAAAGCACAGCATTCCAAACAGATGGCTCTATGGATGCAGTTGATTTCTTGCTGGCTCTGGGAACCAAATCCATGACTGCTTTTGTGGACAAAACTTGCACCAATGGTTTAGCCTCTGATGATTTCAGGAAAAAAATAAACCTTCTCGTGATAGGGTGCTCATTTCTCTCTCATCTTATAGGAACTTTGTCTTAGAAAAGACAGTCAAGATTACTTTCAGATTAGGCCTTTGAAACCTATAAAAAATAAGTATAAAATATCCATGAGATTATTTTAATTAACTTATACATAAGCAAGATAGGCTAGTTTGAGAGTGTGGTAACTGCTGGACAAGCAAAAAGTAAATGTAATCATTCTTCTTTAACATGACCAAATTTTTTTTTAGAACTGCAATTCATGAACCACATGATCAAAAAACCTAATTCTTAGAAAACAGGCTTGAGCAAAATCCTATTTTTAATGATTAGTTATCAAGATAGGCCTTTACTCAACTTGCCATTGCAAAGTTAAGATATTTGGCATTAAATAAGCAAGTCCTAGTCTTCCTCCAACATTTGCTTAAACCAACTGTCATTGATTTCAGTGAAGGGTTTGCTTGATTCTTGAGCATGGATGGAGAGGTATAGTCCTTAATGAAAGGATACAGAAAACTATAAGGTTTGCTTCCCTTGAATCAGAGGCAGAAAGCAAGAAGTTGTATGGTGTTTCAGGACAGTTTCAATTAGTGCAATTTAAAATACGATTAGGTCTGTAACATAGCTGTTACTGACCTAACACATTTATATTTTGGCTTCTGTTATTCCAAATGCATCCTAGATTAATAGTTGTACACGAGTCTGGTTTTGATTTCTTAAAACTAATGCATTTAAGCAATATAGAACAGAGAACAAGTGTTCTCTGGCCTATAAGCACTGACAGCCCTCTTGAAGCTACTTGGCACCTGCAACTCAAGCTGCTCAGCTAACCCTGACAGATATGCCAATGTGTGTGATAGTAAGGTTTTAAGGGGCTAAAGAGGGGCAGTGCAGTGTCCAGTTTTATCACGTTTCCTTCTAGGTAAAAATGGATAGTGCTTGTTTTCAGCTGCTTTGTTAGGTAGTATGGCTGTCAAGGTTCCCTTTGTGCATTTGAAAAGAGCAGGTTATTTTTTGAAGTATGTAAAATTCATTAATTCAATGCAATTTTAAAATTCTACTATAAAAGGAGTGAATCTTAATTATAAGCAACAGGCTCATCAAATTAAATTTTATTTTAAAAGGGAAAGTTTAAGAAGAAAGGAATTATCTCTAGTCTTGCACGTGCAAGATAAATTTGAACAGTGTTCAGTCCTTAAGTGTTATATCTACTAGAAAATGGCTCAAATCAAGCTTTTAGGAGACTACATACTGGAGGGTTGAAGGGATTCCTGCTTGTGTGTCCCAACTTGAACTGAGTACACACAGTCCACTATTGCTTGCCAATTGTTTCAGGAACTATAAAGCACAGCTGGTAGAGAGCAGCAAAGGTTGCAGTTTCTGGAAGTTAAGGAGCTCTAGTTCAGTGCGTAACACAGTGGTCCATAGATTAAAAACCAAAATTAACTGAATTGCCACGTAACAGTCCCACAAAAGTATTTTAAATTCATAAATACTGAATGTGTAGATTAAATGTATGCCTCGTTCATTTCACAAAATTATGGGAGAAACATTGCACAAAATTATAGGGGAAAAAGTATCAAGGAATTCATCTACCTTGTGGTTTCATTTGGAGATTATTAACTACTTTCCACTTCACAAAGGAAAATGTGTCAATCCTGGAATGGCCACATCTTACTAACTGGTTCACAGTATTTAACTTGTTAAAAAAAGTTATGTCTATGGTGCCTAGAAAGGACACACCTCAATGTTTCATACTGATTTGTCTCAATACCATCTTAATTTTAGGCATGAAATGCTGGATTTTGCAAGAAGTAAAGCTCGAGTAAGAGTCTGTTGCATCATGATTGGACTTACAATTGTAGCCTGCTTAGCTACAATTGCATCTGCTAAAAGAGTACGTATACTGACTGGTGGGGGTGGTGGTGTGTGCGTATGTGTGCGCGCGCATGCGTGCTCATACATGTCCGCATGTAGGCATGCACACGTGCATTTAAAAAGAAAGGGGTTTCAAACTCTACAGTATTGTAATTTAGATACAAGCTGCCATTTATTCAGACTTAACACTACTGGATGTTAGCTACCAAACACTCTCCTCCATAACTGATGTTCCTACAGGACATTAACTGCCAGTGTAATGCAATATTTTCAACACTGCACTAAAGTGAGCGTCTTATTTTTGCAGGCTACTGAACACCAGGAGTCCTTAATAAGCGGGAGACTAGCCAAGAAAGCCAAATGGCATGAAGAGGCTGCAAGAGCAGCAGAGTCAAAGGCTAAATAATCTTTAAAACTTGTGCGGCTGCTTGTAGGAGCAAACTTTAAAAAACCTGAACAATTCCTTTGTATTAGCAATTTTCTCCATTAATGAGACCGCTGTATTAATAAAACTGATAAATTAAAGCGCACATAAAGTTGCATAGGAGCATGCAGTTTCTTTCCTTGTTACACAAAGATGTTTTAAATACTTACAACATATGGCCAAGGTCAGTTCAAGTGTGGAAAATTCTAATAATTTTAGTTTCAATAAGCTTTATCTATTTTCCTGCTTAGATAAAATGTTAATTGCCTACAGAGATGGCACAGGGGGTCCAAGATGTCATTGCCTCTGCTCTGAACATTTCTTTGATTCTGACCCTTGCTTTAGATATACGATTCTATTATTGACTAAAACAGGGCATGTCCACACAAGATGCTTTACTGTGCAGTAGAGCTAATTATTGCACAGTAAGCATTCACATCTACACATGCAGATGCTTACTGTGCAGTAATTGGCTCTGATTGTGAGTAAATTTGCTACCAGCGAATGCAAGTAGCAAATTTACTCAGGATCACTTACTGCACAGTAGTGCATGTATATATGCCTGACCAGGATAAAATGTGCTCCTGGTCAGCCAGGCAGCAAGGGGTGGAAGATTGCTCCCTTCTCCCAGGGAGTTGCCAGCTGCTGGGGCAGGCTCCCTACTGGAGCCTGGGTGGGGCAATGTCCCTCTGCCTTGGCAGCAAGGAGCCCCCAGCCCCCACTCTGCAATTGTTCCTGCTGTTGCAGGGGCCCATTACAGGGCCACAGGGAGTGGGAAGAGTCTGCTGCTAGAAGCAGTAAATTGGCTCCCACATCCTTGCACATGTAGGCATGAGCCTGGGAGAGTTTACTCTCGAATAGTTTACTCGAGAGCAAACTGCTGCCAGATTAGTCGCATGTGTAGACAGATGCACAATTTGCAAATGGCTTTATATTAAAGACAGGAGTGTTAAGTCAGAGGTCACAACCTTGTTTTGAGATGTTACTGATTCTATTTATCACTATTGCAGCTCTAATGGGGTGGGGGGGGGAGGAGACGGGACAAGGCAATGATAAAGCATTTGCTTCAGTTAATAAGAAAAGTTTGATACAGGCTGAACTGACTCTGGGTTTGCAAACTAATACACAAAGAGTTAACCCTGGAATCCTCCATGAAGCTAATTCTGCAAGCCAAAAAAGATGGTAAGGATAAAGGGAAACACAACACTGTTTATGTTAGATATTTTTCTAATTTTAAAAATCCACTGCTTGCAAGATTTGGGTTTCTGTTGGGGGGCAGGGGAAGGAAGTATTGCACTCTCCTACAGCATAGAAACTTGGCTCTTTCTATAGAGAAAATTGCATTTTTATTTGGCATTGCCTAAGGAATGGGATTAATGTTAGAATTCTAAAGAGCACAATATTCATATCTGTGAAAAACTGCTTTTATTAGTTCTGTATGGTATTTGTAGTTGTAACATTCCATAATATTGCATACTGTTCATATGTATGTTTAATTACAGTAATGGGCCTCCAATCTGGATTTAAAGATGCACTATCACTACAGACATTAGTTTAATACATTAAACTAATGTATTAAATGCCATGTATGAAAACAAAAACACTTCTAATTCATTATTTCAATTAAATGTCAGACTGGTTTGCAATCCATATCAAGTGGCAAGCTCACTATCTGTATATAAAAACATCATATTCAATACTGCAATTTAGCTTTTTGTAAGACCATAAAACCAACTGAGGTAACTGAAGATGAAGGAAGATTAATAGTGCATCTTTTCACACAGACCCAGCAATTAAAAAAAAAACAACACAAAAAAATCTAAACATTTTTCCAGTTTCAAACTTGTTCTATAGTAAAGAAGTTAATTTCTGTGCCAACATTATTACTATTTTTGATTGCTGCTAGCAACAGTGTTCAAAGCAAATACTACAAAATTAAAGAGTAGTATGAACAACACTTCAAAGACAGTGCAATGATGAAAAATGTCAGTAGAAAATTAAGATATGGATTTTAGTGTATCAGATTAGGGAACTAAAACAGACTTGGCACAGTTGCATAGATTTACTAGTCAGAATTCAAATTCAAGCAGAACAAATGATACCCTATTAAAAAAATCTTCTTTTGAAGAACCTGCATAACTAAAGCAATACTTTAGTGTTCTGTTTTTAAAATAAATTCAAAACAGGTATGAACCTTCTGGATAAAGTCAACATGGACAAAATATTTAGCAAATTCTGGCTCTGCTCAAATCACCCACCTTTAACAGCCTTTCATAGAGCAAAGCTAACGGCTCCTCTTGCCCAGTCAACTGCATTGTTCTCATAAGTATCTATGATGCCATCAATGCCATAGGCTTTGTTAACCTGTGAAAGCTTTCTTATAGAACACAGGCAGACAACAGCCATTCTTAATGAATGGCTATTTAAAACAACTGTTTCCCATGAGACTTAGTTCTGCTTTGAGTATAACTACAAATTACCAAAGGGACTACTGGATTTTAACCAATTAGGGTAAACCTTGAGATTAAATAAAATCCTTTTCATTAACCAAAGTCCATTGATTTTAGTTCCCAATTAAGCTAATAGCAAATACTTTGAATATGCCAGAGGCATGAAATATAATTTTGTATCTAAATGCATAAAGTGCAGTCACTAACTGCTAGAACATATACTGTATCCACAAAAGCACTCTCAAACAAGTATTAACACTTTAAATGCCCCCTCTTCCCACCATTTACAAGTCTTTTAATTAAGATTTTCATAGTTTAGATTTGGCTTAACTGGAGATGCTTATAAATGCAGTACTTAACGGGATCCTCAAAATAAAAGCAGGCACGGCTGGTTATGTAATATTATCAAAACAATTTAGCTAGAAATAGTGGAATACCCTGTTACCTGTAATTATTCTTGCACTAAAAGAACACTGAAATTCAGCATTTAACTAGTAATCCCGGTAAATTTCCCAATATCATTACCCTGTATGTTTTGAACAACTACGCCCAAAAAAGCCTGTCAGCATCTCTCAAACTATCATTGTAGAAAAGGGCACAACTACAATCCTCTAACATTATAAGAAAAATTTGGCAGCTGTACTAAGCATTATGCACGTTATTCAAAATGCTGTAATTCTGTACAAGTCTTATGTTTAAAGTGTCACTTGCTAAAATATCATTATATAGAACCTATAAAGGACCAGCACTCCTATGTACATTCCTTCTCCATAGTGAATCCGATTTCCACAAAAAGAATTCAAGTGCAGTTGCAGTTCCTCTCACTTATATCTTGCTAATTATAATCAGTCACAATGGTCCACCAAACTCATAAAATCAGCTTCCTTCAATTCCCATCTTCAAGCTACAACATAGTATATATTGCTGTAACAGTCCCTTAAAGTAAAGTCTGTTATGAATTTCAACCAAAGAGTACTTGCACTTATTATGAGCAAATTAAAAAATCCTAAGTACAGTGAAAGTACATAAATGAAACCACCCTCTAATCAGTGCATCAAAGTTTTGGTGAGCGACCAGCACAGTATCACAGGAAAAGTGATTTTAATTGAAAATTGCAACTACTGTAGAGGATTAAACACTTTCAGAGGTCAAAGAGGTTTTCACTATTATTTCAACACAAAGTTTGACATGAAGATGTTAAATATTTAAAATGAGGTTTTCAGTAGTCCAAAAGTTTAAGTTATCAGACTGACTACTACTACGTGAGAGCAAGCAGTACAGCTTAATGATTTTGAAAAAAATCTAACGTCAATATTCAAATTCTTAGATATGTTTTTTTTAGTTGGTAGTAGCAACAGATATTAAGTGTTGTAGAATTTAAATATTTAAGCAGACATCTAGATTCATTTTGTTGTCTACATACCTAATATGATATTTACAATAAAACAAACCTTTTTCCTTCAGCCAGATGGAGAAGATTCCTTCTCCCAATGCAGCAATACTATGGATCATAATAGGGTGCATTTTTAATTTTATCTAAAAGGAAATGCAAACACTTCAAAACAGTGGTAACATATTTGGTCAGAAGCAACACGTATACAATCAGTCTAAACTTTCCTTAAGTAAATAATATTTCAAGAACGGCAAATATTGCAGGGATTCTCAAACTAGTATAATCTAACCGCTTTTTAATGTAGAAATAGTCACATGAACCTGTCCTATTTCTTACAATTGTGCAATTCACCCTCCCTCATTCCCAATCAACATTCCTGTAGCAACTATAGTAATTGCTCACATAGCAAAGTATCACATTTTTAACTGGCTTTTAATGTTGTTTAGCAGCTTGAACTAAGGAGCCAGCATCAAAACTAGAGAGATTTCTGCTGATTTGAAAGCCTCTAAATAATTGTGTCTACATGATGCAGAACTGCCTTTTTTGTTTATCATATATTTGAAGTTAAATCAGGTAATCAACATTACATACTTTAAAATCTGTTTGCTTTTAAATATGCTTTATAAATAAATGTCACTAGTTCTTTGCAAGTATAATGATAAAACTACATCTTACAGTTTAAATAAATATTTTTCACATTCTAATTTAGCTTTTTTACAAGCACTTCAATATTATGCTTTAGTTTTGAAGCAACTTTTTGGCTTCAAAATAAGAGGTAGATTTGATAAAGATTGGGCATGTCAAGATTACTGTCAACAGCTGCACTGCTAATACGCAGTTTCAAAGATTACATGAAAAATTCAGAACCACTACCTAAAATCCTACTGAGGTTATTATTCAAGCTTAACAGTTCTTGTTAAATCATATATAATGCCTTAACGTTAGACTTGATTACTCACAGAGTCAGTTTCTAAACATACAAGACAATGAAATACAAAAATACAAAAAATGAATGAATGAAAAATTGTATCTAACACAAAAGTTATAAAAGTGCACGAGCTGCTTCTTTATCCGTCTTCTGCAAAACACATTCAAATGTTCTTCTAACTTTGGCCACAAAGAGAAGACCCTTGGGAAAAAAACCCTATAATGTTTACATTTACATATGCTTGTCTTCACTTAAACAATTACAGCTGAAACCCTTCCATTGGAGCTTCCTGTTGCTGAAACACAAACTGTTGCTGACTCTCATCCACTTGAGGTGCAATACTAGCATCCTCTTCTTCCACACCAAAGTAATGTTCTATCAGCTCAAAAGCCTTTTGGTAGATCTCTTGATTTTCATGTCTTTGAAGAAATTCAATTTTATCCAGTCCTAAACATAAAAGGAAAAAAAATAATGGAAAACAATGCAAATGAATTACAAAGCTTGTATAATATAGAGGTAAATCCATGTATTGTGAATATTTTCATAACCCAAACTGTGTGATGAACTCAG